ACAAGGACAAACATGGAATGAGTTATGGGTATTTCCTCATTAAAGTATTTCAACATCTGAACATTGGGAAAAGGCACTGTTGGAACTGTTAAACAGTCCTTCTCTCTTAGTACTTTGGTAGAGTATGAGAGCATCGAAAGGAAAGCAGGACCACTGAGCAAGATGTCTCAGTTGGTAATGGAACAAGATCAGTTGAAGCACGAATTGGAGGAGATGACTGTGCTTGTGAGTAACAAGGATGCAGAGATAGCCTTATTGACGGCTCAGCTGCTCAAAGCACAGACTGAGGGACATGGTACTAAAAAAGCCAACGAGTTAAGGTTAAAGAATGATGTCCTCCTGGCTCAAAATGTTGCTCTTCAAGAGAAACTAATCAAAGCTCATGATGAAGCCAATGATCGACTTACTCTTGTCATCAAGTCTCTCTCCCATCAGCCTCCCTCTACATAGTACCATCCCTCTCCTTCCCATGTCTTTCTTTTATGTGGATAGTGTCTGGGGTTCTCATTATCAGTTTAATTTTAATGTATTGGATGTTATATTTTGTGCAATGATGATTGGTTCCTGTTTTGTTTTGATTAAATCTTGTCTTTTGTTTCTTTTTGTCGTGTTTATGTTGCCTCTGGCTATGATCTTGCTTTACAAACTTGCTTGTAATGCTAGTTTACTGCGTTTCTTTTTATGATGCCAAAAGGGGGAAATTATTGGTTGCTTAGGTTAGGGAAGAAGGCAAAGCAGGTTGACAGGGGGAATAAAGTTTCTTAGTTTTGCAAGGCAAGTTGACAGGGGGAATGAAGGCATTTGTGTTGGAGTTTGTCATCATCAAAAAAGGGGAAAATGTTATTTGCAGTTTTGATGATTTGACAAATCATGGGACCTTGTAAAGGGACCTGATCCTTGTGTTAATGTACACACAAATGCCAGACTGTAAAAAGTACAATTGGTTGGTGTACAGTCTCCAGCTGTGGCAAAAATCTCGGCCAATGGTATGGCCTCGAAGGTTGTGTCTATTGTTCATAAAGGTTATGTTCAATGGACACAACCTTAGTTTTTTGCATCTTGAAAATTCTTAAGAACACAAGCAAAGACCCATTTCGTGAATTATTCTCCAAAAGCGCAACAGGGACCTGATCAAGCTGCAAGTGTCATAGTTATCTTAGAAGTTATACTGCAGTGCATATATTGTAAATTTGTTCCTAATTTATAAAGGATTCAGATCTTTTGTTCTATTTGTGAAAGTATAAATCGGTTAGAGTCAACTAATTTAGTGGGCAGTGTTGTATCTCTTCCTCAAATTCTAAATCATCTAGGAGTTAGTTGATTTAGTGGACAGTGTTGTGTCTGCTTAGTTGAAGTCTAAGTTGTCTAGGGTTGATAGCTTAGTGGGCAGTGTGGTATCTTCTTAGGCTCAGTAAGTAATAGCGTATTACTTGCTTTGAGATTAAGAGGTTAATCTCATTTGGAGTTGTATCTCTATTTCAGTTTTGCTTGAAGAGATTAGTGAAAACAGTTGAAAATCATGTGTGTCAGGTCGTGGTTTTACTCTCTTGAGCAAGGAGGTTTCCACGTAAACTGCTTGTGTTATCTTATGTTCACTGTTTACTCTTCAACACTGCTCTTACTGAGTCAAGGGACTTGGTCCGTTGACTGATAGTGGACGCACATATTCTATCAAATACTTCTTTTAATTGATATATTTTTCTAATCCAAGTAGATATTTTTTTTCTCTCACAGTGTACGTAGTTACAATTCATTGTGTAAGGGTGGATTTGTTGTGCGTGGTAAAGTGGAGCAGGTTTGGAATCCAAAACAACAACAAAATGATCAAGTCATAACCACCAATAGGTTTGAAGCTTTGGGGGACACAGAATCTGTACCAAAGAAAGGAGAGAACAAGAATAGGGAAGAATTGCCTACCAAGAAAGACACAACACGTGAGAATATGGGTCAGGAGAAGACACCGGTAGCAAACAATGGAAAAACCAAAACTCCTGTGATTTCTAAATCAAAATAGTCATACAGATGCTTATAGTGGAGTGAAAGATTCATCTAACAGAGATATTAGAGCATTGAGCTCAGCGCCATCTTCTATGCAGATTTTAGAAAACAAAGGGGAAATAAATCAAAGGTTTGAGGAGAGGAAGAAAGATGACGATGAAGGCCCACACATGGGACAAGCGGAAGGGCACAGTCAGACAGGGGAGTCAGATACACACAACCTAGTACAGGAGATATTAAAAGCACCAGTTATAGATAAGTTAACAGAACAAGAAAAGACGAACAAAAAGGACACAAAAGAGGATGAATGCATGGAGAGGAACATCGAAAGTATAGGTCGAGAAGGGGACTTGTCACCATGGCAAATTAATCAGTTACGGGGGAAGAACAAGAAATGGGAGAAATTACAAACACAATCACAAATTAATACAAGGAGCAAAAAGGGGTCCACATCCACCAGTAACAAATGATTAATAAAGTACTTTTCTGGAATATTAGATCGGTAAGAACTCAAAAATCTTTTGAGAGACTTAATTGACCTACATAGGAGGAATCACTACTCATACATTGCTCTATTATAGCCTTTTCAAAATCCAACACATCTCGAGAGGTACATAATCAAATTGGGAATGCCCAAAGCAAAGGTAAGCAGCTCAGTGGAAATATGGATCTTCTGGGAGAATGATTGGGAAGAACAAGATTATAATGATACTGGTCAACAACTCACGGTCAATTTGTTTTAAAAAGGGAACCAATGATATTTTCAGTGTTACAACAGTATACGCAAGGTGCAGTGCATTAGAAAGATTGGAATTATGGGAATCACTAGAGGATATAGCAGGCAACATGCAGAAACCATGGTTGGTTGGAGGAGATTTCAACACAATTAGAAATGACTCAGAAAAATTGGGCGGATTACCAGTAACTCAGATGGAAACCATAGACTTCAACCAATGTAGCAGCTCATGTGCTCTAAATGAACTTAGTTTCAAGGGAAGTTCATAAACTTGGTGGAATGGAAGAGTAGAGGCATAATGCATTTTTGAGAGACTAGACAGGGTATTTGGGAATAAGGAGTTCGTGAGTCTACTACCTAACAGTGAAGTTCAACATTTGATTAGACAAGGATCAGATCATGCACCACAACATGTAGTATGTAACACTTCACAGGAACATGTTATGAATCCTTTTAGGTTTCTAAACTTTTGGACAAAGCATGAAAATTTTTAAAGTTAATTGTTGATGTATGGCAGGAGGGAGAAATTACTGGCAATCCTTTTACAGTAGTGCATAGTAAGATGAAAAAAGTAAAAATGGAGTTAGCTTAATGGAGTAATAAAACATTTGTGAATGTTTTTCAGCATATAACTACTTTAGAATATGTGATCAAAACGAAGGAGATTCAATTGGAGATGGCACCTACAAAGAGCAACAGGGCAAAACTTCACAAGGCAGAGGCAGACATTAAAATATATAAGCATATAGAAGAAGAATATTGGAAACAAAAAGCAGGAATGCAATGGTTCAAGGATGGGGATAGAAATACAAAGTTCTTTCATGCTTATGTCAAGGGAAGAAGAAGAAAACTGCAAATAACTGCAATTCAGACCAGGGAAGGAGATATGAGTACAACAACTCAAAATATTGGGGAAGAAGTTGTAAATGTTTACAAGAAACAGTTCATGGAGGATCAAGAGGTCAGTGATTACAGTATGCTAACACATATTCCTTCTATTATTGCAGAGGAGAAAAATGAAATTATGGTGAGAATACCCACTAATGAGGAAGTCAAAAAAGTGGTATTTGCTCTGAATGGTGATAGTGCTAGTGGTCCAAATGATTTCTCAGGTATGTTTTTTCAGAGCTGCTAGGATATTGTAGGGGAGGATGTGACCAATATGGTGAAGGCATTTTTTTGTGGGCAAGAACTGCCCAGGTATATCACACACACCAACCTGGTTCTCATTCCTAAAAAGGAGTTGGTAAGCACTTTTGGAGATCTCAGGCCTATAAGTCTTAGCACTTTTGCAAATAAGATCATTTCAAGAATTGTTCATGAAAGAATAGTCACTGTATTACCTAGTTTGATGTCCAAAAATCAGACAAGTTTTGTTAAAGAGAGAAATATTACTGAGAATGTACTATTGGCACAGGAGATAATTAGAGACATCAATAGAAGAAATAAATAACATAATGTTGTGGTGAAGTTGGATATTGCCAAGGCCTATGACAGGGTTTCATGGAAATTTTTGGTGAGAGTAATGAGAAACTTTGGTTTTGCAGAAAGAATCATAGACATGATAGTGAGGCTCATTAGCAATAACTAGTACTCAGTATTGATGAATGGACAGGCTTTTGGTTTCTTTCAATCTACTAGAGGACTAAAGCAGGGAGACCCTTTATCACCTACACTTTTCATTATTGCAGCAGAGGTTTTGTCAAGGGGTTTAAACAGTCTGTTTGAAGATCCTGATTATATAGGATATGGGATGCCTAAATGGAGCATCTATCATATGCAGATAATACAATCCTATTCTATTCAGGACAAACTACATCTATGAGGAAAATGATCAACATTCTTAGAGGGTATAAAAAGGTGTTAGGGCTAATGATCAACTTGGACAAAAGCATGATATATTTACATGAGCAAGTGCCTAACAGAGTGTGTAATCTCGTAAAGCAGGCAAGGATCTTTCCCATTCACATATTTGGGTTGTCCAATTTTTTATGGAAGAAAGAATTAAGGTCATTTTGAGAATTTGTTGAAGAAAGTTACAAACAGAATGAACACTTGGCAAAATAAGCTCCTGTCTTTTGGAGGAAGGTATATTCTAATTGTTCATGTTTTACAGTCAATATCAGTCTATTTGATAGCTGCTATAAACCCTCCTAAAAGCATAATACACCAGTTGCATAAGTTATTTGCAAAGTTTTTTTGGAGTAATTAAACATGAGCTAGGAATAAATGCTGGGTGGCATGGGATAAGATGTGTTATCCAAAAATGGAGGGAAGACTAGGCTTCAGGTCATTACATGATGTCTCAAAAGCTTTTCTTGCAAAGCTTTGGTGGAACTTCAGAACTGCTACATCATCTTTATGGGCATTATTCATGTGGAACAAGTATTGTAAGAAAATGCATCCTACAGTGGCTAGAGGGCAAGGTGCTTCTCATGTTTGGAAAAAAATGATCACAATCAGAGAAGAGATAGAACATAACATCTGGTGGCAAATAAAAGCAAGCAACTCAAGCTTTTGGTTTAATAATTGAACTAAACAAGGGGTAATATGGTATGTGGAGGAGAACAATGTAGTGGAAGAGGAAATAGAGATCAAATATTTCACTCATCAAGGGACTAGGGATAGGGAGAAGCTTCTTAATAAGATATCAGAAGAGATGACTGATTACATAATGGAGTCCATTAAGCCTCTATTGAAGGAATATATCAATGATGTAGCATGGTGGATGGGGAGTACTCAAGGCATTTTCATAGTTAAATCAGCTTGGGAACTAATGAGACATAAACAGGAAAGAAGGGCGGATTATCAACTGATATGGACTAAAAAGGTGCCTTTTAAGATGATTTTTTTTTCGTATGGAGACTTTGGAAAAGAAGAATTGCAACTGATGACAATTTGAAAAGGATGAAAATTCAGATAGTGTCTAAATGTTGGTGTTGTTATGAAACAGAAGAGGAGACAATGACACATGTTTTTCTAACAGCCCCCATAGCCAATAGGCTATGGAGGCAGTTTGCTAATTTTGCAGGTATACAAATGGAGAGCATGCAGTTACAACAACTCATAATAAATTGGTGGAAGCATAGTGATAATGCCAAACTCAAGGTGGTGATGAGAGAAATGCCAACAATTATAATGTGGACACTATGGAAAAGGAGGAATAACTTGAAGCATGAAGGAACCACCACATACAATGAAATGGTGATGGAAGTGCAAGAAGAGGTGAAAAAACTCATAAAGTTGAAATATCCTTGGATACATATCAGAAAGGAAACATGGCCTCAAATCATCACAAAGTTGAAGGAGTATAAACCTAAAATACATCACCATTATATCCAATGGAAGAAACCTGGAAGAAACAAAGTTAAATGCAACACAGATGGGGCAGCAAAAGGAAATCTAGGTGCTAGTTCTATAAGTTTTGTAGTGAGGGATGAGGAAGGAGACCTTATATATGCAAGGGTAAAAGGAATAGGAATAGCAACAAACATGGAAGCAGAGGCGCTTGCTCTGCTAGAAGCAGTTTGGTACTGTCAACAGAAGGATCTAAAAGAGCCTATAATCGAAACTGACTCTTTAGTTCTCAAAAGAATGGTGGATAATCAGTGGAAGATACCATTGGAATTGGTAGAAAGAATAGAGGAGATTAGAAGGGTGATATGAAGTATAAAAGCATCAATCACTCACATTTTCAGAGAAGGGAACTGCGTGCAGATTCATTGGTCAATGAAGTAGTGGAGTCTCAAGAAACGAAGTGTTATTATCTATTTCAGGAGCTACCAAGCATAATAAGGAAGCATCTAAACATGGATAAATCGCAGATACCAAACATAAGGATGAAAACTCGCAAAATCAGCACACACTGATATAGTAGAGAAGGAACAACTAAGCAATCACCTCCACAACAGTCATAACAACAATTCAACATTTATGTGAGTAATCAGAAGGTACAGTCATTTTATAGCAGAATACTTCACACAGGTACAAAGTCAAAATAGAATTAGATGCCATAGCTATGCTTGGGTCATCGGAGAAGCTGGTCGAAGGTAATACTGGAAATATCGTCAAGCAAGCGGCGTCATATCCGGACAGAAAAGAAGAACATCTGCGGTCCCTTGGATTTTCAACAGCCACCTGAATACCTTATATTTGCACCCTCATTTCACCAAACTTTATAATTTCTTACGTAGTTTGCATTTGAATGATGTCAAAATTAATGCTGCAATGATAAAAGTTCCATTCGCAACAATTAGTCAAAGTATTGAAGGTTTATGTCTGCAGAAAACAATGTCCTCTTGTCCTTTGAGATAGCGTATATATAGCCCAACATTTCACCAAATGCAAACAATCCCAAATCCGCAAAATCCTAGTATTTACATGGCGTTGGAGTTTGTTTCATCGTTTAACCAAGAAGCTGTCAAGTTAGTTGGATTTATCAAAATACTTATACTTGGGGAGGCGTTAAGGTACCACCTAACTTGCAGAGCCAGAGACAGAGCAGGAATATGGGAAAGAGGAAGAAGAGAATTGACGTCGTGTTCAGAAAGGAGCTTGCTTATTGCCTTTGGTATATTGAAACAGGGGATTTTCGTGAAGATGTTGATTTGGAAATTGATGTTTTGGATATGGTTAATGAGAAATACACTGGTCATACTACTTTCCCTGCTGGGTTTAGTTTGAGACGCAATAACCTCTTTGATTGGAAGGGTATGCTTGCATTCGATCAACAAGTAAAAGATGCGCTCCATGTCTTGGTATTTGATAGATTACAGAGAGTTGAAATGGCTTGAGAGCAAGCGGAATTCACATTTTATAGTAGAGTACTAAATGTTACATTTAAATTTAAATTTGATGAGTTCGATCTTTATTTCATTACTAAACTTATTTACATTTTTCAAATTAGAAATTTATATTTAACGAGCTCATCTGAACTCATAGAATCTAGCCTATATGGTACGAGTTCATGTGAATTAAACTTAAAGTAAATCAAGTATTCGTATCATAAATTTATAAAAATATCCGCCTATAAATGTCGGATACCAATATTATAATGTGACTAAACTTTGACTTTTCTTTAATTGATCGTGTTACTTTGATGTCTACTAAATATATGGTGAGAAATTTTAAATTTTATAGATAGACGAGACAGCCATTTTATTTGACAATGAAAAGCATAGTGTTTGGGTTTTTTTTTTTTTTTCAAATGCTTCTTTGAAATAAATCTCCCACCAATGGAAAAACTCTTTTTCTAGAAACTCACCACTATCTTCAATTTTTACAACCAAATAAAAAGGAAAATAAACTTAAATAATACATAAATTTGCTCTTTAACTTTTCCTAATCTTGTATTTATTTCTTTCAACTTTGGGTGTTTATGAGTAGACACTTATTGTCACGACCCAGACCATCGTGAGTGGCACCCACACTAACAAACTCAACTAAAAACTAAGGCATTTAAAGATACGGAAGCAAGTTTAAATGCAAAGGAAATAAATAGGGAGTTCCCATAAACTCCAAACAAAAGTCTAATAAAAACAAATGCGGAAGTAATACCTTGAACCTGAAAGTCAATGTACCAAAACATCTAAAGTTCAACAAGTCTAAGAATATGGGTACAACCCAATTAAACATAAGAAATCCTAATGCACTAGTCTAAGTCTGAAATGGGGACATAAACAAAAGAGAACTCATGGTAGTCCGGAAGAACTGGCTCACCCTTGAATTCGATGACGATCACTGAACTTCTAAGTGAGGTATGTCAATAGCCGCCGGAAGATGTCTATCAGTACACAACCACAGTGCACTGGTAGGATCACGCAGCCATCCCACTAAGTGCAACATACATTAGTCATTAAAACATAATAATAACATGCATACACCGAACATATACAATATCAATATCATTTACGAATAACGATCAAGTTCACAAATCTCAAATTACACAGTTATGTCAAGTCAATGGTCCTCTCATAGAACCCACACTGAAACTGTTAGTATACCAGTACGTGGTACCCGTTCCAAGTTAGCGTGTCGGATCGTGACACCCGTTACAATATTTATGCCGATACGTGGCAACTGATCCCAATTAGTGTGTCGGAACGCAACATCCGATCCATTCAACAAGCCACAATCACAATCACAAGCATATTCTCATAATCATACAATCAAGTCATGATTCATGGCATTCAATCATTCAACTATCCTCATTTACAATTTGTGTGATCAATAATGCAACATTCGCATACATACATGCATTATAATGAAGCAAGTACAAACATATATCACACAACATGAAATCACAACCATTACCTACCTCGAACAAAGCTTGAATCCCCTAAGAAACTTGATTCTTCCGTTTCCAAATTCTTTTAGCTTGTTCTTGGTCTACAAACAATCATAATAACACGGGAATCAATAAACAATGTCTAATTACCCGGATTAAAGTCAACACTATCAACCCTAGATCAATCCCATGATCCCATTATCCAATTTAGGGCTTTTTCCACCATAATTTCCAGATCAAAACCCTCCCCCATTGATAATTACCCACTAGTTTACATTCTACGGATCGAAAAAATGGATTCGGGGAGTTAAAACCTTACCTTTAGCCTTAAGAATGGTGAAAACGGTCAAGAACTCGCCTAGGGTCGTCTCCTAGCTCTCAAAGTCGAAAAGTGTAGAATAAAATAACTTTGGGGTTTATTTCCGACTTAAATCATGACTGTCCCATAATGGCGGCCCCCAGCCCACCACAGCGGAATAAATCCCGCCACAACAGCCTGCACGAAAACAAAATGTCGAATTAAGAGCTCCAAACCCCCATTTCACAACACACCTTCATCCCACGACACTCAGAAAATATTCACTCACGCAAAGATCAATTTTGAGAGTTCTACTCGCCCTAATTTAATTTCGTAAAGTCGTACGGGTTCCTTAAGTCTTAGCTATCTACACATGTGATCAAAATCATAATTAGATCACGCAATTGTTACCAGATTTCCCTAGACCTTAGTGACTCCGATTTCGTCTAAATCTGGACTAGGTTGGGAAATTCCAAGTTACTATGAAAAAGTTTTCCGGCCCAAATTTTTTCCCCGTTGGGTTTTCTATAACAACGGAAATTGGTCGTTACACTTATTATACTTGTATATATAACGTTGAACAAGTAGACACATACATGGTATAATATACGTAAAATGTCACGTAGGACATGAATTGTTATGTAAGATGTCACATAAAATAAGTGTGTCTACATGTTCAACTGGAGTACGGGTCGTGTTTCAGTCCCAATGTGGCTGATCATCCGAAAAGACCAGCTAAGCATCACTGGCTTGGTCAGTATTTACCTGACCAACTATCTAATACTATGCAGGCTCATCAAATAATGTTTTTTGGCTTTCTTCCGGATTTGGCCCGAACTGTTTGGCAGATTCCCATTTATATAAGTTTAAGTGTCTACTTGTGTTCACCTAAAATTAAAAGGCATAAATACAAATTAAGGTCAAGTTAAACGACACATTAATGTATTATATATACCTAAAAGACGAGGGAAAACACTAAAATAAATCTTTTAGATATCCAAACGTTCGTTGTATTTACTTATGTAAGATACTTGGAAATAAGCGTTTGGACATATATTTATTTGTAGATGATAAAACATTATTCGCAACATCGATGTTTATATTTGGCCTAATCCATCGATGACCCCCTAAAGTTGGCACCAATTTTCACCTAAACACTTCATGTCATGTCCCGTTGTATCATTTTGACACTTTTTACTGACATGGTCTAGTGAGTGTAATTCACTCAATACTAGCGCGTGAAAGGCTTATATTTAATCATTTTTATTTTCATTTTCTTCCTCATTTTTCAGCCACGATCTCTCAAAACTTGAACTCCTTCCATGGAGAAATAGTTTTGATGACGCTACAGACAAAAAAATAAATTTAAACACGAAGAGATTTTTTTAAAAAAAACAAATTTTAACCCATTAGAAGAGACACAATTCATGATGTCGCAAAGAAGAAGGGCAGCGGAAAATCTTGAAAAAGACGATGGGTGGGGTGGGAGAGGGGTGGAGAAGACGATGTGGGTGGGGAAAGGGTTGGGGTTAGGGTGGGCAGAGGTGGAGAGGACGCTAGGTGGGTGGGGCAATAGCGGAGAAGACGATATGGTGGGTGGGGCGGAGAAGATAGATGACCTTGATGGGGTTGGGTTTATTTTTTTAAAAGTTGTGTATAAAATTCCACATGTCATTTAGTCGTTGGCTACTTCTTTATTCTACTAAAATATCATTATTTAAAAATTAGTTTTAATATTTATGCCACACGTTTTTATTTAATTTGCCACTTTGACACGTCATCGGCGAGTGTGTTACACACACCTTATATATTTGATTGATTGTTAAAAAAGTGTTAAAATGACACAATGCAGTATGACATAAGGTGTCTAAAATGAACAAAGCTTAGTTAAGGTGTCTAAGTGAAAATTGGTGCCAACTTTAGGAGGCCACCGATGGATTAGGCCATTATATTTTACTTGCTCAACTTATGCAGTGGCGGAGCTAGAAATTTCACGAAGGGTGTCCAAGCATTACATAACCAATTTTTTTTTATGAATAGGTACACTAAAAAATTTAAAATCGAACTACGTAATATTAATATTTTTTATGAATAAATATTTCAAAATTTTAAAAATAAAATTGCATGATATTTAGCTTTAATATATGTGTTTGATTTAATATGAAGTAAGCAAAATAAAAAAGGGGGTGGGGTGGTGTTTGGGGGGGGGGGGATTCGAACTTAAAATGAATTACTTTTCGTTTCAAGCTTACACTGATCTAGGTAACGGCAACAATAACGAGACATGAAAAATGAAAGTAGAATCAAACGAGACCTTTTGTTCGCTTTTAATAACGTTATACAAATCTAATCTAAAGTGGTTGCGAGAGCAGAACATCCTAAAATTCACGGAGTAAAATTAATTATGAATCTCGCATTATAACTTGTAACCACAAAACAACAAAAAAAGTACAAATCTAAATAGTAACACAATTCGATAGGTAATTCAAGCACAATCAGATACAAATAACTAGTTAGAAAGTTCCCCAAAATAGTGAAGATCATCGACATTCCTTCT